CACTGCTGGACTCGCCCACGTGAAGTCCGAGCTGCATAAGAGACACACGTGCACAGACCTGGGTGAACTGCGCAGCTACCTTGGCTTGCAGATCATCCGGGACAGAGCACAGCGCACCATTACCCTAACTCTGTCACACATGGTGCAGCAGGTCCTTCAGCGCTTGACTTCACGTACTCCTCGCCTCAGGCCACTCCTCTGTCTACTCGCCACTCGCTCTCAGCTCTGCCTTCGGATGAGTCCGTAGAGCCGAGTGGCCCGTACCCAGAGCTTTTTGGCTGCCTCATGTACCTGATGACCTGCACACGACCTGACCTAGCATACCCTCTTATCATCTTGGCACGCTATGTTGCTCCTGGGAGACACCGACCAGAGCACATGCCTGTAGCAAAGAGGGTGTTGCGCAACTTGTGCAGTACGTCAGGCATGGGGCTAGTGCTTGGAGGGCAACGTCGAGTGGTCCTCACAGGTCACGCAGACGCTTCTTGGGCTGACAACCAGGCTACGCAGCGGTTGTCACAGGGTTACACCTTCAGCCTTGGCTCCGGCTCTGTTTCGTGGCGGTTTACCAGCTCGTCTTCTGTTCTCGGCTCCAGCTGTCAGGCTGAGATCTACGCGGGGGCCATGGTTGCACAAGAGCTACGGTGACTCACCTACCTGCTGACTGACCTAGGAGAGCCGCCTCGTTCTCCTCCATTCCGTACGTAGACAACAAGGCCATGCTGGCCTTGTGTCGGGAGCACAGACTGGAGCACAGAACGAAGCACATTGCTCTTCGCTACTTCCTTGCTCGTGAGCTGCAGCAGCGTGGTCAGCTGCGCCTTGCTTACGTGGCCTCTGAGGCCAACACTGCTGATATCTTTACCAAGGCACTTCCGCCTTGTGATCATCAGCACTTCTGTACTTTGCTAGGTCTTGTGCCTACTTGGCCTCACTTGCTCACTTCTTGACCTTGCTTGTACTGTGATCTTTCTATACCTGCATTTGCTTGTTTACTTTTATATATGATCTTGCATGTGAACTGGCCTTGTGGCCTTGCTCTTGTGCTCGGACTGTGTGGTGACATTGTGATCCACCCTGAGCTTGCTTTGCATTGCTTGACTGGTCTTGTGACCTCTTGTTCTCCCCCACTTTGCCTATGGGGGTGTGTCAAACTCATATGCTATAGTCTGTGTAGGTTGTAGTGGGGTAGACAATATGGGATACAACACTTTTAGGTTTTCCTACTTGTACCCACCTGCTTACTAGTTCATTATTTCCTCGTTCTTTCACAAGGGGCCCCTTGCATCCGAAGCTGTATTTCCCCCTTTCTTCCTAGTGTACTAAGAGGCAGCCAACCGTGGCTTGTGCTTTGCTTGTGCAATCCCTTGCATCTACTCTCGTCGTCGCTAGCTTAGATGTGAGGCCGTCATGGGTGAACACTTTGTCGGCATGGAAACAGACGGCAAACACAGCGGTGAGGCGCATCGCCAGCCGCCTGTAGTCCCTTTTGAAGCAGTTACCAGCCTCGATTTATTGTTTTTTAGCATAGCGGAAGTCAACGACAACAAGAAGCCACCAGATCTCGAGCCGCCCGACAAAATCGCGTTCGAACACATCGATGAGGAGGGTTTGTATGCATCCCCGATAGTGCCAGACACGGAGCAGGACATCTTGCCGCCTCCAGCTAAAAAACTGGCTCCCGAACCCGTGACAAAAAAATCCGGCCGATACATGCAGTCCACGCTTCCATGGTTAAAAAAGGGCACTGACGACGGAGCTACCCCGCCTTCGCCAGTCGACCAACGGTCGTCGCCCGTGATTGCCGGCCTGCAGGAGTCGCCATGGGTTCCTCGTCCTTCTAAGCAGTCAGGACGCAACGCAATTTACCCCGAGTCTCTGTATAAGTACAAGACCTAGTGGCTAGACAGGTTTTCGTAGCTCATTCTTTTGCGTCAATCTGACGGTCTCCCAGCTTTCAAGTGCCCCATCTGTACTGAGCATACAGGTTATGCTGGAAAGTGCGGGAAGGGCGGGAGGGGCGCCTTGGACGTACAGACGCAGGCTTTCAAGAGGCATGTTGCCACAACGAAGCACAAGGAGGCGGTCAACCACCAGGTAAAGCTTCTTGTTGAAGCTGGACGGCAGCCACGGATCAACAGTGACAACCTCGCTCGCGACACCGAGAAGGAACGCGTCATCGAGCTGCACGACTCCCTGCTCTTCGTAACCAAGCAAGATGCACCCATTGAGTTATGGGTGCAACTTGTTTGCTATCTCGCAGAGAAGAAGGTTCCGAAATTCCCCGCGAAGGGATACGGAACCTACTTCACAACCTAAGTACCCGCTGTTAGAAATTGTTTGTTATGTTGCTTTTGTTTACCTTTTGTGTAAGCACTAACATTGGCTCACATGCTCCGCAGGTACGGCTTTGCGCAACTAACACAAGCGATTTCCACGTGGTTGCACAAAACGCAACTCCAACACCTCCTTACAAGTCCTTACATTGGAGTTACATGTGACGAGAGCACGGACAGGTGCCGGGGAAAGCACATGATCATTTTCGTGACCTTCATCCGTGAGAATCGCGTCGTCACCGAGTTCCTTGCCCTTCTGACCGTGGAGAAGTGCGACGCCGCCTCTCTCCTCTTAGTGTTTGTGTCCCACCTGCAGGCCCTCGACATCAAGCTTGCCAAGATCGCTGGTATAAGCACCGATGGCGCGAGTGTGATGATGGGAAGCAAGAATGGTCTTGTCGCTCGACTGCGCCTCCGCATACCGCACCTCGTCTCAAGCCACTGCATAGCCCATAGGTATGTTTGCTTTTGTACTAGCGCCAATCCTGCTTATCCGTATCTCAACCTTGCTGATACCCCGTGTTGCATGTTTGTGTTGTGATGTGCCTGCAGGGAGGCCCTCGCGGCAAAAGATGCAGCGGAGGGAATCCCCGAGTTCGACATGGTGGACGGGCTGATCCGTCAAGTCGCAGAGTATCTCGGCCGTTCCAGCCCCTGGCACCAACGATTGTTGGAGCTGCAGGAACTCTTCACGGCTATGAACCTGGAGCTTCAAGGCATTCATCAAGTCCGTTGGCTCTCCAGGGGTGATGCCGTTCTACGAACGGTGACGGTCTTCCCTGTGCTCATCATCATGCTGTATGAGTGGGACAAAACTCTGTACGAGCTCGCCACCAGCTACAGGTTCCATTTCTTGTTGTTCTTCCTTGCAGACATGCTCGAGCAGCTGAACATCTTGAACAGGTCCTTCCAGCAGCGAAAGGTGAGCAACAAGTCCTTTCAGCGTGTGCTGCATTTATCAAGATGTCTAGTTCTTGTATGCGTGGCTTCTGTGTGTGTATGTCAATGCATTTATATTGTGGGAGCTTAAACACAACACTGATTGTTTCATAAATCACCCCCCCGACTCGCTTTCCTTGTGTCCCTCTGTGTTATTTCTGTCGCCCTCTCATAGCTTGACATCGCAGGTGTCCATGCCCAGATCAGAAGAGCTATGTCTCACCTGGAAACCTGCTATGTCGACTACGGCGACGATTTTGGAGGCGGGTTGAGCGCGCTCCTGTCCCCGTTCATCATGAAGTACGGGCCTGACAGTGACAAGCCCGAGGTGACAGTGAAGGGTATGGACTCTGACGGTCGGCCGACTACACACAAGTTCCAACTGCATGAGAACCCAAGCGAGGACTACCCAACTCTGGGAACACACGATGCCTGCATCGATCTCTGCACCGCATTTGCCGAGACGCTTGTCAGTAACCTCAACCTCGTGCGTCTCTAGGTGGCTGTCGCAGTGCTGCCGCTGAGCACAGTGGAATGTGAGCGCGGGTTTTCCCGCCAGAATATCATCAAATCATGACAACGTGGGAGCTCCAAAGACGCTCAGCTTGAAGATCTCGTCACGATGTCGCTCCTCGACTATGAGCCCGGCTACAACGAACTGGTGAAAATCTGGCGCAGCTACAAGAAGCGCCGGCCATTTGGCAATGTGGCTGCATCTCCAGCAAGAGAGGGGGAGGGAAGTGGCAGGGGAAAGGAGGCACTAGAGGAGTGGGAAGAACCAAAGGCGCAGGGAGTGATGATGAGTCTGATTCCGATGCTGATGCATGCATGACTCCCACTAGATAAGAGCAGCTCCTCTGTTCTAGGAAGCTAGCGTACTCTTGAATTTAAAATCAAGACTTCTATAGTTTCAGCTTTTTTACTGGTGGAACCCTGATGGATCAGTCTCTTTTCTAGCACAACACTATCATTTTAGGCATTTTTTTTTTAAGAACACTGTCAATCAGTGTTTTTACACAAGGGGACCCTGAAGGGTATACGACCCTAAAAGTGAATCTGAGGCCCTGACAGTAATTAAATTCTATATGAGATTGGCTTAATGTCTATCATTGGATGAGGGTTTGATAGTCAGCAACGCCATTACCGGTGGTAGGTAAGACCACCTCTGACCCTATGGATCTACCCACAATGCTCAAACTGGTGAAATAAAACACGCAGATCAATACGCCAACTCCAGCCATTTAGCAACAGCTGTTTACTCTGTCTTCCTTTTATTCAGGACGGGGCCCCATGTCAAGCAAGAACTTCACTTTGTACATGTTACACTGGTAAAGGCCACTTGAGGCGAAGTAAAACTTGCCATATCCACGGACCGTAAATCTGCAAACAACCATGCATGGAGAGAGAGAGAGAGAGAGAGAGAGAGAGAGAGAGAGAGAGAGAGAGAGAGAGAGAGAGAGAGAGAGAGAGAGAGAGAGAGAGGGGGGGAGGGAGAGAGAGAGAGAGAGCGAGAGAGAGAGAGAGAGAGAGAGAGAGAGAGAGAGAGAGAGAGAGAGAGAGAGAGAGAGAGAGAGAGAGAGAGAGAGAGAGAGAGAGAGAGAGAAGGGGGCGGGGGGGGGGGGGGGGGGGGGGGGCAGCACAGCAACGTAAGGGTGTGGGGATGCGTTGAATGCATCGGGGTCGATTCTCTTCAAGAGATTCTAAGAACTCTCTGAAACACTTAGCATGGGGGTCGGTTGTGGTGGTAGGCATAGTTTGTATGCTCTCATGTGCTCTGGTAGCACAGCTTGCGAGGGCATGCAAGTAGGCACGGAGGGCATGCAAGTAGGCAAGGAGGGCATGCAAGTAGGCACGGAGGGCATGCAAGTAGGCACGGAGGGCATGCAAGTAGGCACGGAGGGCATGCAAGTAGGCACGGAGGGCATGCAAGTAGGCAAGGAGGGTATGCAAGGCACGGAAGGCATGCAAGTAGGCACGGAGGGCACGCAAGTAGGCACGGAGGGCACGCAAGTAGGCACGGAGGGCACGCAAGTAGGCACGGAGGGCAGGCAAGTAGGCACGGAGGGCAAGCAAGCAGGCACGGAGGGCAAGCAAGTAGGCACGGAGGGCACGCAAGTAGGCACGGAGGGCACGCAAGTAGGCACGGAAGGCATGCAAGTAGGCACGGAGGGCACGCAAGTAGGCAAGGAGGGCACGCAAGTAGGCACAGAAGGCATGCAAGTAGGCAAGGAGGGCACGCAAGTAGGCACGGAGGGCAGGCAAGTAGGCACGGAGGGCACGCAAGTAGGCATGGAGGGCACGCAAGTAGGCACGGAGGGCACGCAAGTAGGCACGGAGGGCACGCAAGTAGGCACGGAGGGCAGGCAAGTAGGCACAGAGGGCACGCAAGTAGGCACAGAGGGCACGCAAGTAGGCACGGAGGGCACGCAAGTAGGCACGGAGGGCACGCAAGTAGGCACGGAGGGCACGCAAGTAGGCACGGAGGGCAGGCAAGTAGGCACGGAGGGCAGGCAAGTAGGCGTGGAGGGCAAGCAAGTAGGCGTGGAGGGCAAGCAAGTAGGCACGGAGGGCAAGCAAGTAGGCATGGAGGGCACGCAAGTAGGCATGGAGGGCACAGGGCAGGCAAGTAGGCACGGAGGGCACGCAAGTAGGCATGGAGGGCACGCAAGTAGGCACGGAGGGCACGCACGTAGGCACGGAGGGCACGCAAGTAGGCAAGGAGGGCACGCAAGTAGGCACGGAGGGCACGCAATTAGGCACGGAGGGCACACAAGTAGGCACGGAGGGCATGCATGTAGGCACGGAGGGCACGCAAGTAGGCACAGAGGGCAGGCAAGTAGGCACGGAGGGCACGCAAGTAGGCACGGAGGGCACGCAAGTAGGCACGGAGGGCACGCAAGTAGGCAAGGCGGGCAGTGACCTGGGCATGCCAGTAATTGTTACCTGTATTGTCAGACCTACCCAAAATGCTTCAATCTACAATACTGGCCTGGCCTAACCTACTCATATTTACTTCTGCTGCCAAGATTTACACGCAGTGCTGTCCAGAAACAAGTGTAATGCCCATAAGTTATGTGTACTGCTCGGACTCACATGTACTGCCCACCAACAACAAGGGGTCGAAGGCGCTTTGCCTTCTTGAAGTTGCAGTTATTGAATGCCCTCTCATTGTTCATGATCCACAGGTCATGCCAGAACAGGTCCGCCCACATGAACACTGCACGATACGATGGGCAGTGGGAAACGTCACATGGCACATGGTATGGACAAGGGTGAATACAGCATACACCAATCCATGCTGAATGGCTTCTGATCATCCGTAATCCACAGGTCATGCCAGAACAGGCCGCCCACTTAACACTGCAGGATGGACAGTGGGAAACGACACACGCGACATGCTTTGTACAGGGGTGAATAGAGCATGCATCAATCCATGCTGAATGGCTTCTGATCATCCGTAATCCACAGGTCACGCCAGAACAGGTCCGCCCACTTGAACACTGTGGGATGGGCAGTGGGGGAGGCCACATGCCACATGGTATTGGTGAGGGTGAGTGGACATCACTTCACAGGTTATGCCACGCCGATTCCGCCCACCGGAATACTGCAAGCTGAAGCATGAGCAACAACTGAAAAGACTGCACCAAGCATTGGCAGTGGTGAGCGGAAAAAAAAAAATCCACGTTTGATGCCATGAGACACAGCTGACTGAGCACTGGGGCGGGGATTAGTAAGATCGAAGGGTTTGACGCCATGAGACACAGCTGACTGAGCACTGGGGCGGGGATTAGTAAGATCGAAGGGTTTGACGCCATGAGACACAGCTGACTGAGCACTGGGGCGGGGATTAGTAAGATCGAAGGGTTTGACGCCATGAGACACAGCTGACTGAGCACTGGGGCGGGGATTAGTAAGATCGAAGGGTTTGACGCCATGAGACACAGCTGACTGAGCACTGGGGCGGGGATTAGTAAGATCGAAGGGCTTGACGCCATGAGACACAGCTGACTGAGCACTGGGGCGGGGATTAGTAAGATCGAAGGCAAGCAGTCTGGGCATTGGGCACAGGAGGGACTGTGGCTTCTGCATTATGGGGATTGGGAAATGGAATTGCAGGTTCAAGGACGAAAGGATATAACGACAGGGATGGTGCCACTGGTTTCATCTTCCACAAGAAGCATCATGGCCCAAAGGCAGGCCCACAGGCAGGCCCACAGGCAGACCCACAGGCAGGCCCACAGTGATGCCCTCGCGAGAAGATGCCTGGGACAAAAAAGCCCATGTCACAACACCGAAACTGGTTTCGAAAAGAAGTCTGTTTAAAAACTGTAGGATTCTTACCGCATGTCTACTTCGGTTGGGAATTCCAATCTCAGAGCCCTTGATTGTAACCAATGGGCAGATAAGCTGGGCATCTGCTTCCGAGCCAAGCTTTGGTCCTGCTGCGGACAGGCAAGGAAACACGCCTGTGACGACGCACCTGGTTTGATTTGATGTAATTCTTGATTCGACTATGTGATGATTCGACACACACGCACGCACGCACGCACGCACACACACACACACACACACACACACACACACACACACACACACATACACACACCTAATTTGTCGCCAATGGCAATGTGCGGACGCTGCATGCGTTTTGTCGCGCACAGACCCCACGGGATGATGTGCATGTCTGCCTGGTGGGTTGACAACGCATGTGAGAGACGGATGGAAGCCGGAAGAGAGACGGAAGAGAGATGGCTTTGAGGCGCCTCAAAAGCCGGTCACTGCACGCGCCTTGTCCTGTTGAGATCCCACGGGATGATGTGCGTGTCGGCCTGGTGGGTTGACGGAAAAGAGATGGAAGAAAGATGGAAGAGAGATGGGAAAAAAAAAGGTCAGCACCAAGGATAGGATGTATCTACTTAGGGGTGTCACAAGTGGCATGGCATCCTCCCTACCCACCAAGAGACGGTGCACGTGGCAGCTTTATGGACGGAAGGAAGAGAGGCGAGATGAGACTGAAAACAAAGAAACAAAGATATCAATTGAGGGTTTACGCTTTGACGTATCCATGACTGCCTTTTGTAGCTGCCCTACCCTTTAACGAACAGGTAGGCTTGCCATTAGTGGATTCCAGATTTCAATAGGACCAGCAGAAGCGGAACTAATGAGTAGTGGCAATCCGAAGCAATTTGGGAATGGACTCACAAGGCTTATGAGTAGACAACCAAGGGTGAGTTGAAAGGTGCATCAGCGGTGAATTGCGGCCTCTCAATGGCCTATCCGTTCAACGTATCAATATAGGCATTTGGGTTGGCGCGACTCACCTCTGCTTGCAGCAGCCAGGAAGCTGTACACCCACCCAGGGAGCGGAGATGAGTTATCAGGCGGGGTGGCGGGGAAGGGGCGGAAGGGAGGGGAGTGATGGAAATGAGGAAATATGTGGAAGAGAAGAAGTCGGCATGAGGAGCCTCAAGAGGGAGTATAAGGGAAGTGAGAGTAGGTAATGTCATGAATAGTGGAGGCATTTTGAGAACCCTCAAAAGAGAATATAAGGGAAGCGAAGTGAGCAAGGCTGTGAGCAAGGGAAAGCAGGAAACTGGGAAAAGGAAATAAGCAAGAGGGAGTGCAGGCATCAGGGAGGAGGAGGAGGAGGAGGAGGAGGAGGAGGAGGAGGAGGAGGAGGAGGAGGAGGAGGAGGAGGAGGAGGAGGAGGAGGAGGAGGAGGAGGAGGAGGAGGAGCAGGAGGAGGAGGAGGAGGAGGAGGAGGAGGAGGAGGAGGAGGAGCAGGAGCAGGAGGAGGAGCAAGAGGGAAGTGGAGGGGCTTACGTGAAAGGAGGAGCAAGGTGCTGCTGAGTCCAAGCAGGAGGTTGAAGATGAGCGATCGAGCCATGTTACTCTAATTCCCTCCTCGGGTAAAAGAAAATCTGTACCATGGAGAAGGAACGAGGAAAGTTATCACTCCTGCACTGCGCCCATGATCTCTAAGGCGGTGCAGGCTTAAGAAAGATTGAAAGAGGGCGGGGAATGTTGCGGGGCAGGAAAACGGGGATATTACGTCAGCCAAGAAACGTGATAGTGAAGAAGAGGTGAGAATGATTTTCAGCTGACGGTTCTAATTTGGACACATAATACATCCTGAGGATGCGACACACTCTCACTTGAACACTCTCTCAAGCACTTGCTCACATACTCTCTCTCACTCACGTACACGCTCTCACTCTCCTTAACTGTCTCTTGTTCACTCACACCCTCGGCCACCTACCTCAGGGATCGGTGAAGAGAGAAAAGGCTTGTGTTTAGATCTACTGCACCGTTCGGTAGAGGGGGCCGAGAGAGAGGGAGAAACGAACGGATGGAAATTATTAGAGCGAAGGATTTAAGAGCCTGAGGGAGACGACCACAGGAAAGAGGGAGATTACTAATAGCTGGCGCGCGCCCAAGGCACCAACGCCCTGCTTGACGCACCGGTGGGAAAGGCGTCAGCGCGTTAGCGCCGGGGGGGGATAGCGCCGGGGGAGATAGCGCCGTGGGAGATAGCGCGAAACTTCACGCCATTTCTCCTTCGAAAGGAGGGCGCCAGAGCTCCGAGGCGCCAAGTAACCGCAGCGCGCTTCGCAGGCGCCAAAAGTAACAGCGCCCCTAGGCGCAGCGCGCTGCGGCAAGGCTCCAGAGCGCAAGCCGCCAGCGTGCTGGGCCCGCTGCAAGGCGCATGGCGCCGCGTTGCAAGGCGTCGGCGCCCTGAAACAAGGCGGCATGGCCCTTTCACTCACGAGCACGGCGCATGTCACGGGACACAGGCGCTTCCGCTTCTCACGGCGAGCGTTGTAGCGCAGACGATGGGAAGGAGGACTGGTTACACGAGTGTTGAGTAAATGAGAAGAAACAGGTTCATACGAGTAACGAGAACTAGACAAACAAGAATTGGATGAGAGTGTTGAGAACTAGTCAGCGGACAAGAAATGGATAAGAATGTCGAGAAAACCGGATGAAAACACGATTCTTGAAGTGGTTTCTTGAAATAGGTCGACCTGCTCGTTTCATGTGCGAGCACGTGAAATGTAGCCGAGTCGGATACGTTTTATGCTAAATCTGCGCCAGACCCATGTTCGCCCGTGCACAATTTTCACAGCGTGATACATCTGACATGTGAATTGCCTAGATGTTTTGGAGCCCGACTCGAGCGAGAGGCACGCTGGCTATGGCGGATGATACACGAGCTCAATCGCGAACTACACACATGGGTCTCCGTTCTCTGTAGGTGGGCGAATAATCCTCGCTATTCTCATCACGTGCCCTAAGGACGCGGCACCTCTAGGGAAATTGTCAGGATCGGTGGGGGATCGGGGCCTCACACCGGTTTAGGCCCGTAGGCGGCGCGCGTGCCTCACATCGATCCGCATACCGATGTGTCCACACTGCAGATTTGCAATCGCCTGGACACACCGAGCCACAGGTGACAGGATCGAAAATACAAGGGGCAAATTGCCCGATCTCCACAATTTCACGATCGATGTGTGGGCGTTGGCACATCGATCGTGCGAGCCAGAGGTGCCACCATTTTGGGCACCAATTTACTGTACACTTGCGAGGTAGGGCGAAGACGGATACCAGCCTGTTGGCGATGTCGCGATTTCACTGTACAAGGCAGGATCGATCCCCACTCAGGAATGATCGTGGCTCCTCCCTAGAGGTGCCGCGTCCTAAGCCCTGACGCGAAGGGACATCGAAAAACTCCAGAACTCATACAGGCGTGTAACCATTTTGCCTCTATCTAAACTACTTACATTTTATAGCGGACACTACGAATATCGAGATTTGTAAGGCACGGAAGAGAGGTACGGACCGAAGCTTGGATCGACGCCATAATGGCACCTTTTTCCTTGTATTTACAAAATATTGTACACCTGTATGAAAAAATCCATTCCTTATCGGGTTCACTGCCTCGCGCACAACCCCGCATTTTCGAACTCCACGTGTTTGGCCAACATCACTCAAACCGAGGCTCCCTTGCGTCGCCTTCGGTTTTCCCTTAGCCAAACCTGCACCCAACCTCGGCTTTTCTCCGCCTAGCTAGGGTAGTCATTATATTGTCACATGCACTCATTTTATTGTCAGTTTATTCAATCATAGATTTGTTATTCGTTTTCCGCGCAAATCTGTTGTACAACTCTTAAAGCAGCAGTATACATTTGGCAGGGAGAGTGCCAAAAGTTTTTAGATGGTACATGGTGGGGGCGAAATTGTGGGGCACATAGTAAAACCCTGAACCCCGCTGTTAAATGTACGCAAGGGCCCTAGGTATCAGATTTTTTACGCTGATTCAGCGTTAGATCAGACTTTTTTTTATACACTCCTCTGAAGTCGAAGTTTTTTTATATGTATGTTGGCTGATTTTCCAGAGTATTTGTTTATGCCTTCTCTGTTTTTACAGCCTTAAAGTTTGAGTGTACGCTGTGCCTCAGCGTACTATCGGGGGTGCACTCTGAAACCGGGATTATGGGGATTCTGGCCAGCAAGGCGGTGTGTAGGTATAACACCGTCAATCACGGCCGGTAAATTGTATTTCCCCACCGCGGCACCGCTCTGTCGCGTTGGTACAGCAAAGATGCCATCACCGACATTTCCAACCAATCGGGACTGTGCAGCAACCAGCGTTGGCAACATTCCTTGCCAACGCATAGCTCGCAGCGCGCTGCGCCACGCACGACACCAGAACCATCCACCCCACCCCAACTGTGCTGCATACACGACCAGGTGATGTACACGCAGGGAACAGTGAGGGTTTCATCTTGAGGAGGTCCTAAAAGGGGACCTCCCCAACTCACCCAGCGTGACCGTTCCTACAATTCCCTCTGTCGCCTGGCTCTCCCTCAGATCTTTGCCATCCCCTGTTACTACTGCCTGATCCCTCGTGTCAGGCAGTTTCTCCCAACCTAGCAAAACACAGCTCGGCAGACTCAATGGCTGCCACGGACACTGCTGCGGACGAGCTGGACGACGACGACGATGTAGGTCGTCGCCGTCTAGGCGACATGGCAACGGGCCTCGACTTTCTGAAGTCGTCCTTAGCTACGCCTTGTGCACCGCCAGCGGCACCGTCTCTGCCCAGCACGAGTCACGCTCCAGAATCTGTGCACCTGGATTCTCTGCCCGAAGCCGCCACATAACATGTGACAAACACGCCTCGGACGGAGCTACATGAGGTGTCCGACGTGTCAAACATTATATATGTTGTGCTTGTTTAGGCTACAGTGGGTTAGCCTATAGGGGGTACACAATTCTAGGGTTAGGTACTTGTACTGATTTCACTGTTAGTTCAATCATTCCTGTTCATTCATTTCAACATGGTATAGAGCAGGTCCTTCGCTAGGACCGTTGTTTTAGGGCCCACCACTACCTACCTACCTACCTACCTAACTGCGCCCTAGGGCGCCTCGTTCTTCACGGCCCCCTAAGGCCCGGGACTCGCGACCCGCCCCTTAGCGACCTGCGCGCCGCCCCTTAAAGGCCCCGTCGGCCCACGCGCTCGCCCCTTACGGCCCCGCGCTCGCCCCTTAACGGCCCCGTCGGCCCCGCGCTCACCTCCCTAGAGGCCCCCGTCGGCCCCGCACTCGCCCCTAGAGGCCCCGAACGGCCCCCACGCTCGCCCCTAGCGGCCCCGCGCTCGCCCCTACAGGCCCCGAACGGCCCCGCGCTCGACCTTAGCGGCCCCTTACGGCCCCGCGCTCGCCCCTAGAGGCCCCGAACGGCCCCGCGCTCGCGCCTAGAGGCCCCGAACGGCCAGTGACCGCCACAGCCCCTCCAGGACCGAGCCGAGCCGCGCGACCCGAACCGAGCCGCCCAGTCCGAGCCGAGCCGCGCGACCCGAACTAAACCGCGCCGCCCTACCCGAGCCGCGCCGCCCTACCTGAACTGAACCGCGCCGCGCGTAGTGTCCGAGCCGCCCTACCTGTCTCACCCTCCTACTCCTACTACTGCTCCTACTGCTCCTATGGCTAGCCCACCTGTACTAGCTTTCGATGATGAGGGCCGCCCAGTGAAGTTTGACACCTGGCTAGATGACCTGCACCTCTATCTACAGCTCACTGCCAAGGACGACATCTCACTGTATGACCACGCCCTAGGCCATGTCACTGCCCCTGCTGCTACTGCTGACAGCACTGCCCGCTCACAGTGGCAGACTCGTGACGCCCACGCTCGCTTTGCTATTCGCAACTCCCTGCCGATAGATGAGCGCGAGCACTTTGGGCAGCACAAGACTGCACAGGCACTGTACACTGCTGTCGTTGCCCGCTACTCCTCACCGGCCTCTGCCGCACTAGGCCGTCTCTCTCTTCCCTACCTGTTCCCCGACTTAGCCTCTTTCCACACAGTCGCTGACCTCATTACGCACCTCCGCACTAGTGAGGCTCGCTTCCACGCCGCTATGCCTGATGAGTTCCTTGCCAAGAACCCACCCCCGCTCTGGCTCACTCTCTACCACCTAGTCACCCGCCTCCCTGACACTCTGCGCTCAGTCAGGGACCACTTCCTAGCTCGCTGCCCCACTGAGCTCACCATTGCCCTCCTCGAGAAGGAACTCCTTGCAGCTGAGGCTAGCATAGTCACTGTAGGTGCCTCTCGTGGCGACCCCCGTACCCCGTTCTTTGAGGGGTGTTCTCCTTCCCCCCTTCTTCCCTCTGTTGCCTCTGCTGCTGCTGTCGACCTCCTTGGTGCTGAGAAGGTCGGGACTGCGTCTGCTTCGAGCGGGCGCCGCAGCGGCAAGGGCAAAGGGGGCAAGGGCGGTGGCGGTGACGGCGGGGGAGGCGGTGGTGGGGGCGGTGGCGGCGGTGGGGGTGGTGGCGCGACTGGAG